CCCCAAAACCCCAAAACCCCAAAACCCCATGTTACTAGTGACTACTTAATACTTAAATGTAATAGGATGAATCTATTAATCACTATTAAATATGGAGGTTTTAAATACCGGAGGTGAATCTAAAGGTGCCTAAAGTGAAGAAATGGTCGTGAAGGATATTGAGAAGGTCTTAAGACATCTCATTAAGACTAAAACTCTTACTGACGAAGCTTTCGTGTACATGTCATTAATTGTCAATGAAGATGCCCCAAAGAACGCAGCCGAGCTAGTATCTTTGATAGGTGACTTTATGACAGATGGTATGTCCTACACTGAGGAAGAAGCATTCAAGCTGTCTGAGACGATCATGAAAACACTACTTGACCAGAAACTATTAAGAATTGAAAACAGAGATACAATCACTGCGGAAAAGCTGAGTAACCCTGTGGTTATTAATGAAATTAGACAAACTGGACACTCTGGAGTTATCAGAGAGGAGGAATTTTCAGATCCTTTCCTTGATAGTGAGAGGACTGGTAATTATAACACCTTCGAAGATAAACCTTGGGATAAGAAAAAGAAGAAGAAGGCCGAGGAGGATAAGGCTTAAGATGCTCTTGATAAAAAGATAGAAGAGTTCCTTTAACATAAGAAAAGAGTGCCAATTCCAACAGTAGTTCATGATAAGTAAGATAGCTTTAAAACTGATATCATTATCCCTGGCCTTATGCTTATTGCTGGAGGTAAAACTCTACTTGATGGCGCAACTCTCAAGATCGTTTAAGGCAGAAAGTATGGACTTGTCGGTAGAAACGGTATTGGTAAGACCACCTTGATCAATGCAATTTCAAGAAGGGAGATTGATAAGTTCCCTCAGACTCTTCATATTCTACAGGTTGAATAAGAAGTAGAGGCTGATGATATCTCAGTCCTTCAGCATGTTCTTAATTGTGATGTTGAGAGAGAAAAACTCCTTAAAGAATTAAATGAACTCCTTGCCTAAGATGATTCAACATTATCTGTAGATGATAGAGCAATACTCAATGTTTAAATGGAAAAAATAAATGAAAGACTTAAAGTTATACAATCAGAGAAATGTGAATCAAAAGCCATTAAGATTCTTTCAGGTCTTGGTTTCAGTTAAACTGACCTCAATATTCCATCAAAAAATTTCTCTGGAGGTTGGAGAATGAGAATCGCAATCGCTAAGGTTGTGTTCTGTGAACCAGAAATTCTTCTATTGGATGAACCAACTAATCATTTGGATCTCAATGCTCTTATTTGGCTTGAGGATTATATCAGATCTCTGTCAATTACTGTTATTATAGTATCTCACGCTAGAGATTTCTTGAATGTTACTGTTGATGAAATTATATATTTCTTCAACTTGAAGCTTGACTATTTCAAGGGTAACTTTGACAACTTTGAAAAGGTAAAAAATGAAAAGATGAAGCTTTAACTCAAACAAAGAGAGTCTCAGCAAGAAAAGATTGAGCATATTCAAAAGTTCATTGATAAGTTTAGATATAATGCCAAGAGAGCCAGTTTGGTTCAATCAAGAATAAAATCCATTAATAGAATGGACATCATTGAAGAAGTTATTTATGATCCCACATGTGTCTTCATTTTCCCAAATCCAGAAAAGCTGTCCCCACCTATGCTAAGACTTGATGAAGCTAACATAGGTTATTCCTAAGGAAAGAACATTCTAGAAAAAGTTAATCTGAACATCGATTTAGAAACAAGAATCTCTCTTGTCGGACCTAATGGTGCAGGTAAATCAACCCTTTTGAAAGCACTACAAGGTGAGCTTTAAGTTTTTGAGGGACATTGCTTCATTCACAACAGACTTAGAGTCGGAGTCTTCACTCAACATCATTTAGATTCACTTGACTTGAGATTATCTGCTGTAGAATAAATGATGTAGATTTACACCAATGTCCATAGTGAGAAATTCAGATCCCATTTGGGTAGCTTCGGTATCAGTGGTAACTTGGCATTAAGACCTATGTATCTTCTATCTGGAGGTCAAAAGAGTAGAGTTGCCTTTGCAATGATTACCTGGACTAAGCCACACATTCTTCTTCTCGATGAGCCTACTAACCATTTGGATTTCGATGCTATTAATGCTTTGATTGTTGCTCTAAACAATTTCGAAGGTGGTATTATCGTCGTTTCTCACGATCAATATTTCTTGAGCAGTGTTTGCGATAGGCTCTATGTTGTAAACAAAAAGAAAGTTAAGCTATTTGAGGGAGATATTACAGACTACAGAAAGAGTCTCTTAAAATGATTTGTTAGCCCTTTGGCTGACAATAATTTATCATTCAAGCTCATAATTAGTTTCACAATTGAAAACCCTTCTTAATTTCATAAAACATAAAAAGTATTTTATTTCTTTCTATTGAAGAAAATTAAATTATATAACTGAAGGGGTTTTGGGGTTTTGGGGTTTTGGGG